ATTCATTAGTTAGCTCACTGATTACTGTACAAACACACAACTTTATCAGTGATTTGGGTGAAACTGGATCATATTTTATGGAGAGAATATTGTCTGGTTTTCTCTCTGACGTCCTCCGGCTCTGCTAACTGTTGCTGTAGCTGCCGTTAGCGTGCAGACCAGGACCTAGTTAGCTTGTGCTGCTAACATTAGCTGCTCAGCCCCGGGTTGACTTACTGTCAGTTCTCGTGGTGCAGCAGAGATTTTGTGGATGAAACAAAAGCTCCTCAAGCCGCTACTTCACCTCTGAAACACATCTTCTAGTGTGAGAGCTTATGATTGGTCAATTTAACTCATCAATGCAAACTGCCGGCTCTCTCCTGCCGAGCTCCCCGGGCTCCAGCAGCTGTCTGTGGGCAGCAGCAGCGCTGTCTCTCCCTCCACACACACAACACTATAAAAGATATACGCCACAGCTTTTACCACAAAGTTAAATATTTACACTTGAATATGTGAATCGTGCAGATTTCGCATATTTAGCCCTTTTGTGTCACCCAATTTACACCATTCACATTGCCAAGTGTAAATCTGAGTCTATTCAATCCTTATTTCCAGTGATTATACACTAAACACACCTATGAATATTATGCTCCATTTCTGACACAATGGAGCTTTTAGTGTTGGTGAAATAATGGAGCTGTGAGCTTCTTCCGTCCAGCAAGATAAAAATAACACAAACACAGCTTGTGTGCAGCTTCTCAGCAGTGAACCTCCGGACCTGGATCTGGTTCTGGATCTGCTGTTGCTGTTTCAGCGTTGGTGTACAGTAATCTTTCTGAAGGTCACAGCGAGTCCTGGTAATGATTCTGACACCTCCACATTGTAAGCTGCTGTCAGGGCGTTAAGAGAGGATGACGGCAGGTTTCTGCTGCTGGCGGACGGGGTCCGTATTGATCCGGTGACCCCGGTCCATACTGCTGACAGGCTGTGAGGAAGAGGAGCTGAGTCAGGGGTGGACTGCAGCAGTTGGCCTTGATGAACAGGTAATCTGTCTCCAGACACAGAGACACATTTGACCAATCATATCAGCTCTCAGACTGAGGCTCTGGGAAACAAAGATGGATTTCAGGCCTGAAGAGATGGAAGTGAAGGAAATCTCTCTTTACTGTTTGTGTTCATTGATTAACAATCACTGTTGCACCAAGAGAACTGATGCTGTGTTGATGGCAAGTTACTTCGGGGCTGAGTCAGCTAATGTTACCTGCACAAGCTAAACTAGCTATCGACATCTTACATTACCATTAGCAGCATTTAGCAACATTTCCATCAGAAAACTCTGTAAATCACCTCGGTACCGCTGCTGAGCCCCGTTCGGTTGCAGTTGAGGCAGACCAGCCGGAGGTCGTCAGAGGGAAAACCAGAAAATATTCTCTCATTAAATATGTTTCACCAAAATAACTGATAAAGTTGAGTTGTTGTGTCTTCTGTTTTCTTCCTGTTAACAGCGCTGCTGTACGCCACCATCTTCGGTAACGTCACCACCATCTTCCAGCAAATGTACGCCAACACCAACCGCTACCACGAGATGCTCAACAGCGTGCGAGACTTCCTCAAACTCTACCAGGTCCCTAAAGGCCTGAGCGAGCGGGTGATGGACTACATCGTGTCCACCTGGTCCATGTCCAGAGGCATCGACACTGACAAGGTAACGCCTCAGTTATTCAATAGGTCTGACGCATTGTGATATGTTTTTCCTTTTTAAATATTTTTGGGTCTTTATTGGGTAGCGGACATTATGGAATAAACATGAAGTCAGGACTGAAAAGATTCATCGTTAGCAAAACCAGTAAATAACAACACATTACGCTGTATCAGCTCATAATGTCAGTCCTCTAATGTGTCGCTGATGCACTGTGTGACCTCTGCTTGACCTCTGCCCACAGGTGCTGCAGATTTGTCCGAAGGACATGCGAGCGGACATCTGCGTCCACCTCAACAGGAAGGTGTTTAAGGAGCACCCGGCGTTCCGGCTGGCCAGCGACGGCTGCCTGCGGGCGCTCGCCATGGAGTTCCAGACCGTCCACAGCGCGCCTGGTGACCTCATCTACCACGCCGGAGAGAGTGTGGACAGCCTGTGCTTCGTGGTGTCGGGGTCACTGGAGGTCATCCAGGACGATGAGGTGGTGGCCATTTTAGGTGAGAACAACTCAAACAGCTCCAGTTCCTAAGACCTCTGTCAGAGAACACAGAGAGTACTTTATATTTTTATACTTTGTGAACATATATATACATATATATATTATATATATATTTGATAATATTAAACATGGGCTGTGGTGGGAACAGCTGCAATGAACCTGCACCATTAAACTAGTTCAGTGTGATGGGACTGTTTGTGAGCGAATACTGTCCTGTATTGTCAAGAAAATGTTATAAGGAGTTCGGTCTAGACTTGCTCTATTTGAAAAGTGT